AACTCAAATTATAATAAGTGAGGAATTATTGTAGATTGGCTACTGTTTTACAGAGTACTCTTAGGATATAAGGAAAATGTTATTTGGGACCTGGCTGTATTTGGAGAATGTATGGGCTCTCAGGATAGTTGGTGAATATGTAGATATGATATGGAGTTGCTTATTTTTATGTTGAAAGGTGTCCTAGCAATGCTATATTAGGGACTGCTCACATTGGCTGGAGAAGGTACTGAATGCCCAGATGGAAAGAATTATGGTATAAAATGTGTTAACTTCATTTATTTGTATACCCCAAGAAGTTGAAACCCCAAGGAAGTGGACTGTGGATAATATTTTATCTCTTCTAGCTGTAGGAAATGAAAGCATAGAAAAGTGAATTGGATTTGTTTGAAAGCTTCTGGAGCCAGGAGGCACGTGGGATCAGTGCTCAGGTGTCTATTTCCAGGCATCTTTCAGTAATTTGGTCACATATTTTCTCTAATATCAGATTTTGCTTTCCATTCGTGGGTGGCATAAAGAAAAACTTTATGAACACTTAAGATATTGATTTAAACTCTAAGAAGAGGAAGAGTAAATAAGTGAGATAATTGAAGTGTAGGAATACCTTTTACCTCAGAAATATTTTTTCTTCAGAGTGCGTGAAAATGTATCTTTAGTCTGTTTAGTAGTTTTGATTCTTGTCTATTAGTATACTTTGACAAAACATCAGGAAGAAAGATTTAATATAATTCTTCACAGGTATATTACATTGGTGATTTCTGTGTTTATGGTGGTTTGAGTCTTTAAAAGATGTCTAACTTTTATTTGCCTACATCAGTTGTTGACTTTGCAGAGCATGGAGAATACAACACCAGTCATGCAGAAAGTACCTGTTTGTCATCGTGAGAGTTCAGACATGAACTGGAACCAATGGCCCATTAAATACCTCCTCTTGTTGTTTAAAGCATATTCTAGCTTTGCAAAGTAATTGTTAATGCGGAATATTGTAGCTGAGCCAAGGAATGGAATTCCTATAACTCCAGTCGGAGTAGAGACTGAATCAAGTACTCTGAGTTGTGTTCCATTGTTTTGTGATTCTGTACTACTGGAAAGTCTAGCCCAGTGTGTAATTAGGAATATGGAAGTCAACAAATAGCATAATTTGCTTTGTGTGTGTGTGTGATTTTCTATTTATATTAGTATTGTAATACTTCTGGGAAATAAAATTTTTTTTTTTTTAGAAAAAAGTTGCTTGCTAAAATAAGCACAAATGCTTTCTATAAGAAAGTATTTCCCTTTATTTTTGCTGTAAAAAAATAATGATAGCCACTTTTTACATATACTGCACTTAATGAAGGAGAAGACATCCTCGTAATATTGATACAGTAGGACAATATGCACACCATAGGTTAAAAGTCCCATTGTGAGATGTAATTCACCGTGAGATACAGGAATTTTAAATTTCCTCTTTAAAGGACAGAGCTAAATTTTAATTTAGAAGGTACTTATATAAAAATTTCAAAAGCAGTGTTAGAAACCAATTAAGAAGGATTTTTGTCTTAAGGGTTTGTGTGCATGATGTGAGATGGTTACAAATGTTCTAAATTCTTTTTCTTCCTCTGGTTTTTACTTCTGCCATACTGTATTAAGGGTGCCTGTGTGGAAAAAAAAAGTTTCAGCAAATGTTCCCTTTCTTCTCCCTTTTTGGTTTTCACTCTAAGATACATATAATTTTGCAAATGTGTACTTGTCTGAATAGCCCAAATAAAACAAACGTTACTGTAGTTGATGGGTACAATTATAGATACCTTGAGCCATTGTCGACTGAAAGACTGATCAAATGTGACATTATTTTCTTGTTATTTTCCTAAAAGAGAAACTCCTAGGATAAAATAGAGCTTGAAAGAGAGGCTGTATATGTTTGTTGGGGGGTGGGTAAGGTGGAGGGGGATGAGGAATTTTGGAGGGAGTGGGCTTGTTTGATAATAGGAAGGAAGTAATAGACATTTCAGTAGTACTGTACAAACCAAAAAAAGCTTTGAATCTATGGGTATTTATGTGATTAAATACAATGAGAACATAGTTAATGAAATCCTTAACATTAAAAATAAGAATATATGAGGCCGGCCCAGTGGTGTAGTGGTTAAGTTCAGCACACTCCATTTTGGCAGCCCGAGTTCACGGGTTTGGATCCCAGGCACGGACCTACACCACTCATCAGCCATGCTGTGGCAGTGACCCACGTACGAAATAGAGGAAGACTGACAAAGATGTTAGCTCAGTGCAAATCTTCCTCAAGAAAAAGAGAGGAAGATTGGCAATGGATGTTAGCTCAGGGCAAATCTTCCTCAGCAAAAAAAAAGGAAGAGCAATAAACTGCATTTCTTCAAAAAAAAAAGAATATAAAATGTAAATGTAAATTATCCTTTTATAAATAACTTTACTTGCCAAATTTCTTAGTGGAAGATTTTGACAGTCTTAAGTAGTAATGTTTAAGCTGTCATTTGGAACAGACCCTTTACTCTCTTCTGTTTCTTATCTACCTCAGAGAATGCCAAGCACTGGAGATATTTTTTTTCTTCTTCTTTTTTTTTTGGTGAGGAAGATTGGCCCTAAGCTAACATTCGTTGCCAATTTTCCTCTTTTTGCTGAGGAAGATTATCCCTGAGCTAACATCTTTGCCCATCCTCCTGTATTTTGTATGTGGGATGCTGCCCCAGCATGGCTTAACAAATGGTGCATCCCTGGGATCTGAACCAGTGATCCCCAGACCACCAAAGCGGAGTGTGTGAACTTAACCACTACGCCACTGGACCAGTCCCTGGAGACATTTTTTAATAGGAGATAACAGGAAGAGAATAATTGCAAAAAGAGCTAATATTTAATAAACATTTATTCTATGCCACCACTGTAAACCCTATTTAACTCTCACAACAACCCTATGAGGTAGAGACTATTATCATCATTTTATATATTTATAAATAGATGTATATAATTTTAAACAAATAATTTAAATCAATAGATTTATATCATTATAGATAATGATGATGAAATAATGCAAAGAACACATAAGACTTAGCCATCTAAATATACTCAGGCTGAATTGAGATTTGAGCCATGGCAGTTTGTTGCCACAGTATATTCTTTTAACTACTACTCTACATTGCCCTGGAGTCTAATACCTGGATTCCCAGAGACATGAAGGTTGATTGATGTAGAAGGTTTAATATGGAGGTTCCTATTTTAGAGGCAGCATGATACATTAGTTAAGTACTGCACCAAACTTAAGAATCCCATATTCAAGTCCCTGGTGTAACTTTCACAAATGATGTAATTTTGATCAAGTTACTAATCTTTTAGACCATAGTTTCTATATCTGCAAAATAGTAATAGACACTTTCAGCCCTAGCTATCTTTGATTTATTTAACTGTAGGGTTATAGTTATAATGGTGCAGGAAAGGCAGTGATATCAGAGATGCAAGGAGCTCAAACAACAGGCATATACTGGCAAATGTGCCCAATTCAGTATTGGACAGACAGCACCATCCCAGTTCTGGCTGACTTTAACAAGGGAGGAGCTTGTAGTTGAATGGTGGAAATTATATCACACCCTTCACATGATTACATATGAATATTTCTGTTCCTATTGTGGCGTTCAATAGCTTAGCTGAAATTGGAATGATTTTCAAGGCTATAGGTGGTATCACTTTCATAATGACATTAATCCCATCAATTTCTAGAGGACCCTCAGTCCATCGTTGGTCAAAACATTTGAAAAAAAAAAAGGCAAAGGTATTTCTAGCACTGTGCCATTATTAACACTAGAATTTTAATAAACAACCACCAAAATGCTCCAAAGAATAGTGATAGAGTAAAAGGTGATTACAAAAACAAAAGAGACATCGGTGATAGGGAACCTAGTTCATTAATACATGGAATGTTTAATATTTGTCATATAGTCTTACACTTGCTTAGGAACACAGAATTAAAAGAAAACTTGCCAAATATTTTGTGACCACAGCTGAAATATAGAATATAATTTGCATTGTTAATAAACTTGGCACTTGAATTTGCGTTATAGCTTCTTCATGTTATTCTGTTGATTCGAAAGCGTCCTTTGTGGAATCCTGAAGAAGGAGGGGGTTTTAGGTATCTTCTAAGGTCTTATCATTTACACCTCAGGAAACGAACTCAAATGGGTTGAGTTTCATTCCTCATATTACCCATCTTTTAAAAAACGAAACCTAGACTAGATCGTCTGCAAGAGATGATAAAATAATGAATATATTTATGATGTCTACAGATATTTATGGTAGAAACTTTGTTGTAGATTATGCACAGAAACTTTGTTGTAGATTATGCACCGTTGGACAACATGCATCATTCATTTATTTTAACAAACATTTTTTGAGCTTCTATTACTTACAGTACCAGGAATTGGGAATACAAAACTCAGTCCTTATCCTCAATTAACTTACAATATAATATATTTTTCGTAACAACAACAAAGTCCTATTTTTTCTAGGATCACTGTTAGAAAATCACATTTCAATTTAACTTTCTCCAAATCTGAAAGGTGATTATTACAATTCTTATTTTTACAGATGAAAAAACTGGCTTGGAGAAGTTATGTTAAGCTGCTCAGGGTTACAACACTAGGTAAGCGCCAGAGCTGGATGCAAGCCCTGTTCAGCCTGGCGCCAAGGTCCATGCTTTTTTCCATGAATCCGCAGAGTGCAATTTACTTTGATCACAATCACATGCAATACCCTTTCAGCCAGCTATGACAGCCTGACAGGTTTATTTTTGAAGACTCAACCCGGTAATTACGTAGGGAAGCACATTCTCGAGTTATAAAGAAGAACTGGTGAAAAGAGATCATCCAGGTGTGAAATGGGTGTTCAGAGCTTGTTTTCTTGGTTTACTTCTGTTCAATTGTGTGTGCACCAATGTTCATTAAGGCGTTTTAAGTGTCTTCATCAGGCTACAATAACTTGGATTTTTTTCCTCTCTCTTTCAGGTATGGAAAAATTGTATCCACAAAGGCAATTCTTGACAAAAACACAAATCAATGCAAAGGTATGTGTAAGGGCATCGGTCCCTTGAGCTCCTCCCCATGCTGTTCAATTAGTGGCTCCCCCAACGCAGAGGTCCAGGCACCAGATGCACAATGATTACAATGTGCAGTATATAGCAAATCACTTTAATAACATCGAGGCTCTGATGAGTTGTATTTCTAGTAACATTGCTCATTAATTTTTTTCATTAACAAACAAAATGAAAATCACAAATCAGAACAAGTATCAAATTGCTTCAGCATAAAACTAAATTACCTCCTAACAACTTTGGGTTGTCTGACTTGAATGATATCATCAGTGATGCAAATTGATTTCCTATATAAAAATGAGGAACTCTGGGGAAAACTTTCCCATGCAAAACACGTTTTAATTTATCTGTTCTTTAAAGCTTTAGCAACATTGGTTGACTAAGAATGAATTTACTGATGGGCCCATTGTGTCTAAGCTTCAGCTGTGAGCATCTCACAGGATATCAGAGTTAGTATCTTAGTAAGGCTTCTTTTTTTTTTCCTAGAAATATTTCTGAAGTTATTTGACTATATCTGTTGCCCATGTTTCTTCATGCCTGGGAATCCTATACTCTTTTAAGGGTTGCATTAAATTATTTGTGAAATCTATATGGTCTGTCTTGCATGACTCAGTTCTTACTGGAAAATTGGAATGCTTCTAGTAACATATGTTATTTGTTGTTCCTCTAATCCAGTCTTTTTTTTATAATACTGACATCAAGAAGTGTGGTAGGGTCAAAATCATTCTAAATGCTGCCCCTATTTCACATACAAATATAATGTGCACTAGTTTCAGGAGTAAACCCTCATACACCACAGATGTATCCTAGTTTATTTGCCTAACGGTAGTCAGATTTAATTTAGCAATTTTTTTAAAAAGAACATTCCATGTCTTCTATAAACTCACAAATGCACTACGTATTTAAATACTACAAGACAAAAAAAATAATAAGACATGATTTCTGTCATCTAATAGTTCAATTTCTATTTGACAAGGAAACCACTAAGAAAACCAAGAAACTAATCCTAATGTACTTATTAGGATCAGTATGTCAGCCTAATATATATGAGAGTGTAACAGAATATCTGTAATAGGGATATCTACAGAATACTGTGAGAGGGGCATATGGAGATTTCTTTTTGGGAAGGGAGTTCATAAAGGCAAGGCAGAATGGATGGGCTTGGGAAAGGTTGGTGTTTGGGAGAAAGAATTTCAGAATGTAATTGAGCAGACCCACATAACTGGAATAGAGAAATGCACAGATAAGGATATTGGTAGAAAGAAGGAGGGGTCAAGATTCAGGAGGCTTCAAAAAAGTTATCCTGGATATTTTTAACTTAATTCTATATGCAACCCTTAGTTTTTTGAGCAGACACAGTATGATTCTGTGTTTTAGAAAAGATATTTTGGCAAAGGTGAATGAAATCAAATTACAAAGGTGAGAAACTGAAGGCAGAAAAAAAGCAACATAGATGTGAAATGTGTAGATCAAGAGGAAAATGAGGAAAGTCACCCAGGCACCATTAGGGAAATGGAAAGGTGGTCACCGTGAGAGTTTTCCAAGGTAGAATTGAGTATTCTCTATAAAGGTGAAAGAAAGGGATGCACAAAATGAAGCCTACGTGTCAAGCTTTCATGATTGGGGAAGACGGCTGTGCCTCTTACTGAGGTAAGAAGTCTAGAAGTAGTAGCAGTAGGTTTTGTGGAGAAAGTGATGAGTTATGTATTGGCCATGCTGATTTAGAGGCCCTGGCATAGGATCCATGTAGAGATGTCAAAGAGGAAGCTACAAGAAAGCTCAGAGCTACAGATGGTGACTGAAATCAAGGGAGTAGATAATAACACCAAAGGATAACTTGTGGAGGGGGAACGGATGGGCAGCTGAAAACTGAATTTTGGAGAACATATAGGAACAAAGCTGGGTCATGACTAGAGGACACTTTTGACTCTTGGCTTGTGGGAAGCATATGGTATGTTAGAAGCATTGGAATGCTAATACTACTGCTTCTAGACATGCCCAACACCTTTCTAATGTCTTTTGGGTAAATATATCTCTAAGAACACTCAGAGAAAATTGAGGCACCTAACTCTGGCAGTCAATAATATTGATTGAGCGCCAATCAGAAGTACAAATGCATCACATAAAAGTAACACCTGTGAACCTCATTAGATCCCATTACATGTCTGATAACTGGAGTGGTTGATATAAAGGGATCCTTTACTATGCAAAGTTTTGCTCAAGAATGCAGATATCTCTTATACAACATTGGTGACAACAAGAAGTGTAAATTGCTAACCTGGAAAACTGTACTTTTTATGATTGTGAAGGTTTAAGGAGTGAGGGATGTAACTGAAATGGCTTGTCAGAGTTTGCCTAAGCAATTATCTCTTAGCAGTGGGGGTGCTGATCTGGACAAATACTGTGGGTATCTTTAGCTCAACTCCTAACACTCCTCTCCACATTTTCTTGTAACTGCTTATTTAGTTTTCTCTCTCCAAAGAAACTTTTAAACTCAATGAACACAGGACCTGTGTAATCTAGAAAACTTGTCTTCAAAGTGGAGTGATAGAGGAGAATGCATGACTGCCTACTGGGGATACTAGAAGAAAATATTAGAACATATCTCTCTGTTTTTATATCAACTTTCTGTGTGTGTTTTATAATGTATATAATAGTATAATTTCAAAATGCATATGTTTTAAACAAATAACTGTGTGAATATTGGGTTCACTGCTCCAAAATATTTTTATTCATGGTAATATGAATTTAAAAGGTAGTTTGGAGACTACTGGTTTCAAACATAACACACACTGATAAATACAAAAGGAGAAAAGAGCAGGAGAGTAGGAGGGAAGAGAGAGGAAGGAAGGAAGGAATGGACAGACCGTGGAACCACATTTAATAGAGGGCAGCTAAAGATGACTTTATGGGAGGGTAGAGGGCTGTTAGACCTTTTGCTTTGAGGGTAGTGTGAAGAAGGAGGGGTGATCATGTGGTCATTATACACAAATAAAAGCCTCCAGTCACCTTTTCTCGCCTGAACACTTGGAGCGTGCGGATAGCAGCAGTGACTCTCAATGAATCCCAACCTTCACGAAGCACATGGGGGAGGTACTCTAAAAGTAAGCACTTGTGATCACAAAAGTACTGCAGTCACTTTCACCCTTTGAGGAAAACACTATTTTAGTGATATTCTGAGTCCTATTTAGAGTATTTCCTTTCAGAAAAATGGCCCATGAAATGGTCATGAGTAAAAACTACAATACTGTTGGGAAGAGACAGCAATTGCATTTATGGAAAATTGTTTATGGTTGTTACTGATGACCATGGGAGCAAGTTGCTGAGGTTGGAAGATATGACATCATTGAGGAGTTGAAGGAACTGATAAGACAAGGCATTGCAATGACCATCTAAATATTTATTGAAATAGCCAAGAATTGAAGCAGCAGCAGAACTGGAAAAAGTGACTGGTCCAGAAGCTATTTGTGGAGAAGTAGGAGAAATGATACTGGGGTGTATAGACCATGGTGAAATGAAGGTTCATTGGTTATAAAATTTTATGATGTGAGATTCTAAATTGGAGATTTTAGCTAGGAGGGAAATATATGGAGTTAGGAGCAAGGAGGTCTCCCCACTTACAGGTCCAGTGGGAGAGGGGATGTTAGGGGGAAAAAACACACTTGAGTGGGCTACAAAGGAACAGTGTCCTCAGGGTGAGTTAGGTAACGATTGGAGACATGCAAATTAAAGCAATTTGTAGTGATAGTTTATATCCACTCAGGTAGCAAACATTATAACATGCAGGCCATCCAGTGCTGGTTGCAGTGAAACTAGTTCATCCATCCTTCATCAGTACCATGGTAAATTGGTATCAGCCTTTTAAAAAAGTCAGTACAGAAAGAGTAATAAAAGACATACTATTGATACTAGTAATTCTACTGAGACTATTGTCCCAAATATTTTATTCAAACATATTTTTAAAAATGTGTATACATGCACCCTCTTAGCACTTTTTCATTCTCTAGATTGGAACAAATATGGGAAACATGCTAATTCTAGCTTGTGGAGCATATACAATTATTATGTAGTCATTACAAAGATAGTCAGGAGGACTAAATTATGTCAAACTATGAAAATGTTTATTATGAGAAATTCAATGAATATAGAAGAATATAAAATAATGTGTACAGTAAATATGAAGTTATGAAAATATTTGAGAGTCAGTATTGCTTATGGTTATGTCTGTAGTGGAGCCAGACTGCCTAGTTTGAACACTGCCTCTCCACTTAGTAGGTGTGTAACCTGTGGTAAATTGCTCAACTTTGCTGGGTGCCTCAGTTTTCCCATCTATAAAATTATAATAATAATAAGTCCTGACTCAATGATTAAATGAGTTAATACATGCGTAACGCTCAGCAATACCTCATGCTGGCTGTTGTACAAAGTACTGGCAATATTAAGCAAAAGAAAAATGTTTGTGTTATTTGATGGGAATATGATGGGTGGTATAGATTATTATTAACTTTATGTTTCTCCATATGTGTTATGTTGTCTTTTCAGGTTAAAAAAAAAAAAAAAGCAAAAACAGCTCTTGGAAAAATTGAGCTGATTTCAATTATATTTATATTTTGGTTGCTTTTCCTGTGAAACCTGAGTAACACATAACTATATGTTTCTTTGTTTTTGTAAAATAATGTCAGAGGAAAATAGCAGTGAATTAGGAGAGAAGGCTACAGTTTGCTTCTTTAAATAATAGGCAGAAGTTGAGTTCTTCTTGACCATTGCTTTCTTGAGGAACGAAATGGAAAGGGTGTGTGAGGCGGCTTTTGCTAGCAAAATCCCTAAGAGCATTGAGCCTGTCATTAGAGAATGCAAATGGGATTTGGCCTTCTCCAAGACGCTTGCTTCTGAATCATTTTCAACTTTGCCTCCAGACGAAAGCTATGCAATTAAAACCAATATTAGGAAGACAGGATTTATTTATTTTTGTT